TAAAAGGGTCTTGGCACGTATAATTCATGCTCATCCACCCCATGGAGAGATAGTCTTAGATCCATGACATCATCCCTCCCTCATATACATATGAAGAAGTTGGAAACATGGAAGTGCCATTCTTTGCCTGGTGCAGAGAGGTGGTCAGTGTATACAGATGTTGGTTCCTGTACACATACTCTGGATGTGTGAGATGGTTTATCTGGCACCTGTAGATCTTATTTCATTATGTCAGTAGCCTAACTTGTATACAAATGTAGAAATAAGTGAGGATTTATTGCATATTCTTGGGTACACAAGATTTTCTAAACAGAACTGGAATATGGAATTTATTAATTGTAGTAGCCCTGTATCACAGTTTTTAAAATGATAATGGAAATGTTAGATCTGGTGAAAGATGTTGATGATGAGTTTTTTTCTCCAAAACATGACTATATTATATGAAGGATTTTTGTTTTTGTTTTAAAGCATGCCAATCAGATTGGTTCTTTTCATATGGCCATTCAGAGCATGTTAATCATACATTGATGATACTGATTTAGATCAGCAATTTATCTGTTGTTAAGGTGAGGGAAGGTAATTTGTCTGTGTTGTATATACTTGTCAGAAGAATGTACTTTTCTTACAAATCACTTTCCTCTTGTGTCCTGCATGAACAAACTGTTTGAGTAGTTGATAGAAAGTGTATGTTTTCAGACAGTTATCAAAATATAATGTGTTACTGCTGGTGGAAAACTATCAAAACATTTCATTCAATATCTTAATTTTCATTTTTCAGTTAATTACTTCTTTTTTATCTGCCATATTGGAAAGTTTATAATAACCTCTTAAATCACAGAAATGGATCGTTGTGTGTGTGGATTTATCATTCTGAAATAAAACAAAGCTTTAAATCCAGCAAATCACAACAACCAATTTTCTCTACATTTGCTCATACTTTCAGTTCATATCATTTGTGACATTACTTACCTAGGTAAAACTATTTGGTGAATTTGTCATTCAATTATCTAGCTCACTGCTTCTATATTATTGGCACTGGTTTGTGTGGCATTGTCTATTGACCCATAGCAGGTTTACAAGGGGAAAAAAAGAATATGGTAATAATGTGGGACGAACATGGTACACAGTCCCTAGTGCACATATGGTTCCATTCATATCAGCCGTGGTCCATATTGAGGACTAAATCCAACTGTTTATAAAATTGATCCATATACTTTAATATATTTATGCAGTTATACCCTGATTATTGTCCACAACACAGTAATTATGCTGTTTTGGTTATGTTTTTATTACATGTTAGATTAAGTCTGATCAATTAAACAGATAGAAAATTTTAAACAGATTTAAGGATTATTCCTGGTTTTTAGTTTGTGTGATGGGGACAGGTTTTTGAATAGAATACAATAAGAATTATGTCATTTTGAAAACTACAGGGAAAATTATAAAGCAATTTGATGGAGTATTTCTATTACACTTTTAAAGCAATAATTTGTTTCTTTACATTTGTTCCTTTACAATTCAGATATTTGTGGGTGTGTGGAAGGAGTTTTTGCAACTTTAGTGTCAGGGTGTGTGCACTTTAATCCCTGCAAATTACACAAGAGAATATTAAGGTGATATTGTCATATTTGTGTGAGCAAAAGTATTAAAATATATGCACATATCTGAAATGGAAAAACCTTGTGTACTCATGTATAGAAACTTATAGAAACTTCAGTAAAAATCAGCCTTAAGCATCCGGGTTGACTTATTCATGGGTCAATGTGGATACTGGGTTGTTGTAGGTTTTTTGGTTGCATGGCCATGTTCTAGAAGCATTTTCTCCTGACGTTTCGCCTGCATCTGTGGCAAGCATCCTCAGAGGTTGTGAGAACATGGCCATACAACCCGAGAAACCTACAACAACACAGTGATTCCGGCCATGAAAGCCTTCGACAACATGGATACTGTGCCTTAACCTCCTCTGAGTAAAGTGGTGAAAGGCACAAGCTTATTATATCCTGGGAAAACCTAAAAGAAACACAGATACCACCCCTCTCTATTATCTCTTCTGTCCTTTATTGATTGCCTAGGCACTGAAATGCTGATTGCATCCAGGGGCAGCTAGCTGACCACCTGAGACAACATTGGTGGCCAGCTGCCCCAAATGCCCCCAGCATTACCTGTGGAATGCCCCCCTACCTATGTATGGGTCATATCACAATCTGAAAATTTGATCCCAAAACTTGCCCTGAACTTATACCTGAGATTGACTTATACATGAGCATAACATGGTAATCACTTTTTAAAAAATCATTTACAGAAGTGATTTTAAATAATCACTTAAAAATAATTTCCTGATTTTGGAAAACAAATTATGATATTCAGCATGTAAAAAGAATCAGAATGGTCTAGTAGTGCCATATTCCCACTGTATTTATTTTAACATTTTCCTTTTAAGAGTTTATGGACTACTAGTACCTAACAACATATAACCGCTGTTTGTTTTGGCCGTTTTTATGCGAAAATAACTTATGAAGTATACAAATGGTGATCATCTGGCAAATTATTATACATGACAGTATAATAACTTAGCCAGTAACTTTCACAACAGAACCATATTTTCTTTCAGAAATGCATCCACAGGTAGGCCGTGACACAGATCCTCTTAATGGGTTCAAATGTCAGTTTAAAAACCTTGTGAAATATCATTTGAGAATTCTTTGGTGAGACAGAAATCCATTAAATGTCTTTTGTGTATACAGCATAAATCTTACTATGTTTTCAAAGAATTTAAAGTGATTTTAAAATTTTCTGCTTTTAATATCTAAGAAATCTTGAATGAATGCTTAGATCCGATGCTTTTCATGAAATTGAAAGAAAACTCTCATGTTTCTCACTTGCATAGAGTAAGCAGTCTGAATCCATTGGAAAACCTCAGATTTCTCCTTTAGGAGGAAATGAGTAGAGCTAAAATCTCCCATGAGATAGTTTAAAGAAAGAGTGTTATAACTTTTGCAATGAGTAATGACTTTGGGGTAGAGCGAAGATTCAGCTGAAAGAAAAAGATGGACAACTTGGTGATGCTTCAGATATTGTTGGAGTTCAACCCCTATTAGTCCAAGGTGATCATTAATTCAGTTTGTGGTGAACAATAATGTCATTATAGTCCAACAGTTACTGAAGGGTTATGGGTTGCCCCATGCCACATTAGAAAATTATTGCATATTCCTAAATCTAATTCTATTTCCATCTTCTGTCCACTGAGAATTAGTTCTTGTTGAACAGTCAAGTGTAAATCTTTGAAGTTAAGGAATATGTGTCAGAAATAACAAAAGGACAAAAAAGGAAGGGAATGGAAATAGATATAACAGGTATCACTAAAAAGACATAAATACAACCTCTGAAACCTTCCTTTTTCCCAGCAGTGTAGCAGGCTATGTCAGAGGAGCAGGGCTATCATACAAGACACATATACCTTCAGTGAAGTAGAAATCACCATGCATCACATACCTGTGGCACTGCACAATCACATGTTGTGTCAACCAGGTTCTCATTGGTCATAATCACAACAGGAGTAAAATATATATTAATTCTGAAGGGTTTGGCCTAGCAGTTGTACGTGACACTATTTTGTATACATTCTGGATGTAGCCACCTCTGCCTTTTGTTGAGCATTGAGCTGGGTATACGGCAATGATGGTAAAAAGCCAGTCCTTCAAACTATGCTGTGTATGCTGGTCCTATCCAGTCTGTGCCACCACCATAAAAAAACATGGAGTATTGGCAAAACAAAAAAAGTATGGTTGACTTCATTGTTCAACCATTTCTGACGGCAAACATGTAGCCATTCGGAAGTTGTTGAACAGTAACTGTCAGACATATATTAACCAAAGTAATAGAAAAGCTATTTCCATGTATTTGTGTCCTACACCTCTATAGCATAATGACATGATGTAGTGGCATTATACCCAGCCCATGTGACATGATGATACTACAAGTGGCATTGTATCTAACCATGTGAAAATGAGTTCTCCGATGTATGTGTAAATCCATTTTACAGTGATGTTCAGATTACATTGTTGAAATCCTGAAATAAATATCCACTGACACCATCTGTATGAAGCAGTAATATACCATGTGTGTCTGCATTGCGGGAATGCCTAATAATATATGCAGAGCTAATCACTGCATATCTTCTCAGAGTATACAAGCTGTCTATATTTTAGTCAAGGCATGGACACATTAGGTTGCATTTACATAGTTGCCATGACTTATCTCCGGATTAGGTAAACTCGTCTTCCATAACTGGTAATAATTTCTCAAAGAAGCAATCGAAAATAATTTATATATGTGGGGAATGAAACGTTGGCTCTTATTTGACTGAATACTGATCATTATCAGGATATGGGTTCTGCTTTTCTTCTTAGGCTATTTTCATTTGTTTCTTCTGCACCCTTTTAATGGAATATATAGGTCTCTTGAAAGGTAAGGTTAAACATTTAAAACCTGGTGAATGTGTAATGTAACCAATTACTCCAAATCCAACACTTAGAACCTTGTATTTTTCCTAATAATGGGGAAATCAATGTTTTTCATTTAATCAATTCATTCTGCACTCATATTCAGGAATCAAGAATTAAGAAGTTTAACAGACTAATTTCACAGCACACCATAAGCTTTATATTTGAAGGGAAAAAAGGCCTTTGCAGATGCTTGCTTTTTTTACATTGCTTAAAAATTGGGAGCTGATTCTTTTTTTCACTGGGAAACCATGCACGGTGGGGAAAACTTCCAGTGCTGCCGATATCCTGCGTTAAAACCATTACTGCTCCACATACTCATGCCAATTACATTGTATTAATTTGCCCCATGTGATTGAATTTACTAAAGGACTGTGGGATCACACACGTGTTTCAAAAATCTGCATGCATTCTTGGTTGTGCACTTTTTTCAGAAAAAAAATCTTAGGCTGCAATGTGTTGATCACCCTGTTAAAATTAACTTCTTTGCTTTTTCAGTGATGCTGATGACCACAAGCCTCTAAAAAAAGGAAGCAGGACACCTTCAGACAGGACTGTGAAAAAGGAGGACAGCGATGATAGTTTAGTTGACTATGGAGAGGGGGTCAATGGCCAATTCAATGAGGATGGCTCTTTTATTGGACAATATAGTGGTAAAAAAGAAAAAGAACCTGCAGAAGGAAATGAAAGTTCTGAGGCTCCTTCCCCAGTTAACGCAATGAATTCATTTGTCTAAATAAAGAAACATTGCCCCATTCCTACAACCTTTCCATTATTTTTTCCCCAAGCACCTGTACATCTTCCCCATGTTACGGACATGAAGGAAACTACACAGCAAAGTGTTTATGCCATAACTGCAAGTAGGTGAAACCAATACACTATCTAACAACAGTAAGTATAAATCAGAATTCAAAACTGGAGACCTTTTCTATTCAGAAAACAGCAACATCATTTACGAATACTGGAAATACAACTGCAATGCATGCAGAACGCTGCATATGTTCCAGACAAGGCCAGTTATGCCGTTGGTGATAATTTTGATACTTTGTTATGTGCCCCTCAACTAAATCCCTCAATCTAAAGTCCATTTTCATTGTCAAAGTGTTATAGTAGTATTATATAGAACTTCAATGTCTTTGTGGACATTGTTGTGAAATTGGTGACTTAATGTCTAGATATCATTATGTCTTTTTGCAAGACAGTTTAGGAACAGTATGTACAGTATATGATTGATAAATGACTTTTGAGTATGGCACTTGCATTTGCTGATGCTTATTGAGGTCCTGATACCTGCTCTTTGCTTCTCTTATTTTATAGCCTTTCTAATTAATTGAGTATTGCTGCAGTACAGTATTCTATTTTTGACATCCAATGTACTTTTTTTAGGGCATACAGATTACTGCATTGTAATGCGTTTTGGAATTTGTACAGTTATGGAAGTGAAATTTTCAAATGAGTTTTTTAATCCAGAAAAAATGCAGGGCAGACTACATTCAGTGCCTTTAAACAATGTGCATTCCGTAATGTACTGTAAATGGCCATAAGCCACCTGGAACCTTTCTGATTTGAGTGAACAGAATGAAAGAGTTCATATACAGCTCTGTCCGTTTTGATGCCGCTTCTGAAGGAAATGTTCCCAGTGGGTTGAGCCCCTACTCTTAGCTGGTGTAATAGTGTGTGATCAAGAAACTGTCATTGCCAAAGTAACGTGATTAAATGCCCAAATATGTTAGATTGAACTAGAGGAGTTCATATTTAAGTTATGCTAGGCTCATTGCAATGTCTTGTTTGTTTTATGGAGATAAACTATAGAGAAGCTAGTGCAACTCATTTCATGGCCTTATGCAGTTAACACAAAAGCAGCTGATAAATATGTGTTTTGTTAATGCAGGGAAGTGTTAGTCTTTCCTACAATTCCAAGCTCCCAGGACTACCATGACACTACTTTTATTGTTACGCTTGTCATGAAGCAGTGTATAGATTGCTACTGAAGAGCTAAAACATTTAAGTAATTTGACAAATGCTGAGTTTGGTCACACAGTACAACTGTCACCTGCTATAAATTTACCAACACATGCACACGCATGGACATACAGAATCTATATCACGGAAATGGTTTACCTCCAAATATGAAATCTTATATAACAACCTATGGTTGAAGGAATGCTCAGTTTCATTTGCCAATAAATTGGTTTTTCATAACTTGCATCAAGTTTAATTTTAAGTAAGCTTTTTATATGTAGATATTTTGTTGAATTTGTACATACACTTAAAGTGTAGATGCTATATGCTTCTAGGTGTTACAAATTTTTAAAAATGCATTTTGTTGTACTGTGTAAGAAGTACTCTAGCCAATAAAGTGCATGGTGTTTTAAGGCATCTATCAAAATACATATAATTTTTAAAAAAATTGATAACAAGGTATTCAATTTTAAGATGTCAGGTCATTTGCCAAGCCAGAAAGACCTACTACTGTGTAAGTTCTAATTATTCATCGTGCAAAATCCTTAGAAGCCCTATTTATATGAATGGAGTTTGCACAGCAGCTGTGTTTGCCGAGCTGCACCCAATATTATTAGTGGGTATGCTTATGCTTTACTTAAAGCCACAACACCTTTTGTTTTGCATATATTATGTCTGTAAAGCATCTTACGAGCCACCCAATATTTAACACTGGAAAAACATCAAAATTTTCAGAGATCCATTTTTTCCCCATGAAGGCAAAAGCAAGAGAAAAAAAACCCTGATATACAGCACTGATTGAAAAAGCACAAAAGGGGGGACATTCCCACCAATGGTATTGAAGAACGGTTTCATACTGTTAAATGGAGATGCTAACTTTATCCATGCATGTGAAAGTACACAGAGATTACTTCTGTAATTGTGCAACACATTTTGTATTAAAATAAATGTGGTTTTAAAATTTTATTTGTTCTTCAATCTCTGTGCCATAACATTGAACAGATTTAGGTCATAGTAGTTATGTGGTGAAATGAGAATATATATTACTAAATGAGATGGGTAGAATTGGGGGCACTCTTTGGTTTCAAATGCAAGATTATCCTGATTCATGGCCATACATTGTTGAATAAAGCACAGTATATGCTGTCTTTACCATGTCTCCATATACCAATGCATCATGTTGTATTTTTGGAACAGGCTTGAAATATCATATGAATGAATCACTCTGCAACATGAATTCCTCTATTTCATAGTACTTGTGTGGCCTAAATAATGGAAGAGATATAAGTTCCAGTGTCTTTCACTTGTTAATTGCAATGGCATAGAGTCCACTTTCTATTCCCTTCCCCTCTGTCATCACCAAAAACCATTCTACAACAGTCTTCAAATCTTAACTCTCTTACCTTTATTATCCCTATTACATTCACTGCTATGCCTGTAACTGAGCACACACTTCCTTTGTTTGAAGTTCTCCATACATACTTACCTGAGAGTAGAGACCATAGAAGTATTCAATGCAGTATTCATTGAAGTATTCAATTTCCAGGCATATCATCACATTGTTAGATAGTATTTCATAAGGAGATGAATTGTCTTTAACATCAGCTCATAATGACTATAAGTGAGAGACTTCAGGTCATCCTGTTACCAGCAATTTTGAAGGTGTGCATTGGGGAAAAAAAAGATTTATTATCCAATGTAATACACGGCCTCTCCTTGTTCATCAACAGTTCTGCTGTCCACTTTGGAATGGCCAAGAGGAAGCCGTGCCCTTCCATCAGACCAAGGCTAGTGAGTTTGGTGACAGTTGGGAGGTGGCTTCCCAACTAAAGCCTCATTCAGGACATCTTCAAAACTGAGAGGGAGATTTTGAAAGCCTTGTGAATGAAGCCAATTGGGAAGCCATGCCCATCTGGCTGAGGCTGGCAAATTCACCAGCCTCAACCTGACAGAGGGGCGCAGAAGGGTTTGTACATGCAATTCTAACACGCCATTGAAACTAATTTGTACCTCACTTTTGCCTATGTAATTTATCCCCCCCCCCCAAAAAAGTGAGCATTAGATTAGAGTAAATGTGGTATAACTATTGTCTGCTTAAGTCTGATCTAAGGAGAATTTTAATTACACTGTAATTTCAATACATTTCCTTATGTTAATATAGATTGATGATACTGTGAAATGTCTATTTACCTACATGTCATTTGTTATGAAATGGCAGCATAAAACATTAGTGTATGTTTGGTGCTATCCTGGCACAGGCTTCAGAAGAAGCTTCTGGAAAATTATGACTATTGGCCATTATCAAAACATTAGAATTACTTTTGAATCTCGGCAAAGAGATTTCTGGCATAGAAGCAAATCAATAGCAGAACAGTTCTATTCCCATATTGTGCTTTATCACTGAATTTCACTTGACTTTGAATTATTGTTAATCTGTTTGCTTAGTTTGCATATGATTTCTTAGTTCTCTCTTGCCTTCTTGATTGTTATTCGTCATCAGCACTCATCACCATGTTTTGTTATGGAATTAGCTAGGAGAAAAAATAAACTGAGCTCAAATTCAGGTGGTTTGTGCAGGGGGAGGGGGAGGAAAGTGGAGGGAACAGGGACTGGAAAGTATATACCCAATCTCATTCAGTATTTTATTTGTTCTCATGTTTTTATTATTTTAATTTAAGTATGTATGCATGCATATACAGGATGTGCCAAAAGTCATAAAGGGTCTGATGTTTTAATAACCTTTTGGAAAAATATTGGCATGATTTTACATGTAATGTGATGTAGTGTGATATAATTTTAATTTCCTTTATACTTCAGTTCTAAGACACAATTGATTGTAAAACATACACTAATTTCAGTACCAATAGAGAGACAGATAGACAGTCAGACACTTGTGATTCTAAGAAAAGTGTGTCTTAGAACTGAAGAAATACAGCATATTGTATATGATGCTATGGTATTGTAAATTAAAAACAAAAAAGGAGATATTGAATATTGAAACCTCTTTCTGACTTTTGGTCCACCCTGTATTTCTCTCCTGCCCTTTGTCGTAAGTTCTCAGGGCATTAAACAAGTAAAGACAATACTAATTGATTATACAGTTTATAATAAAAGTAATTTAAATATATGAAAGACATATTAAATACACAACAAGGTAAAAAAGACTTCAACTATTGAAACAATTTACAAATCCTAAGCATAGCATTTGGAGTAAATCAGGTTCAAGAGTTTTTAAATACCTTCCTATGTTTTATGCAATGCCTAAATGAGACCAGTGTTGATGTCTATCAAGCCTTTTTGTTGGGACACAAAAGAGGGCTTTTCCAGCAGATGTCAGTCCTCCGGTAGGTACATATGTGGAGTTTGTTTCCAAAAGATAACAAATCCCCAAAAAATGAAACATGAGTTATAAGTGGCAGCATATTGTCGACAGGGAGTAGAATTACACAGAGATCAAAACTGTCAAAATGTATCAAATCATTTTGATATAGGGCTTGGAAAATCACATTTTATAGTAAAACAATGCATATCCTCAGCACATTCTTTTCAATTCCTGTAATTGTTCAGATGGATTTGGCACCTTTTGGAAACAAGCTCCATATATAGAGAGAAGCACTTTCTCATGCATCATTTATGGCTTACAATGACGGGAATTTTCCATTCAGACCAGAAGTATATTGGAGCCAGTGAAATTCTTTTAGAACTGATGGATATACCAGTTAGCAAGTGAGCTGTTGCATTTTGCACTAACCACAGCTTCCAAGTCATCATCAAGAGTAGCCCTACACATAGGCTTAACAGTAGTCTAATCAGGAGGCTACCATTACAAAACTACCATTGCTAGGAAATACTGTTACTGGTGCACCAGTCAAAACGGACACAAAGCATTCTGAGCCAGAGTTCACTTGAGCCTCCAGTGAAAAAGATGGATCCAGGAGTACTCTCAAGCCATGCACTTGCTTCATCAAGGAGAATGCAGCCCAATACAGGACAAGCTATTTATCCAACTCTTGAACTTGAGAACCTTCAATCCCTACCAGAATTCAGCTTCCATGTATTGACCCTCATCCAACCCAATGGGGTTCATTCCATTACATCCTGCAGAGAGTACTCTAGAGAGAATCACTTGCAGAAGAGTCGAGGTGTTACTTTACTATTCCCATTAGCCTCGGTGGTGCAGTGGGTTAAACCCTTGTGCCAGCAGGACTGCTGACCAACAGGTCTGTGGTTAGAAAATGGGGAGAGCATGTTGAGCTCCCTCTGTCAGCTCCAGGTCCCCATGTGGGGACATGAGAGAAGCCTTCCACAAGGATAGTAAAAAACATCAAACATCTGGATGTCCCCTGGGCAACGTCCTTGCAGACAGCCAATTCTCTCACACCAGAAGTGACTTGCAGTTTCTCAAGTTGCTCCTGACACACAAAAAATACCTTCTGGCTTCATTGACTGTGGAATTTTACAATTACAGTCCAAAAGAGAATCTGTTCCAAATTATGTTCAGAGCCAACACAATGACCTTCAAGATAGGAATCCAAATTTAATTCTCTGTTTACCACACTGGTGTGGTAGGTACCGTTTATATTGTATTAAGTGTTTGATTGTCTGAAAAAAAGTGCCAACAGCTAAAAATGTGTCCAGGAAAATTGGTATCTGGATCAGGAATTTAGATTTGTGGCCAATTAGATTATATTTTATGGTTCACTGCAATGCCTCTAAACTCAGAATATTTGCTTGTAACTGGGTGATGTGGTGCTTCAAGCAGAATCTGTGAAAACGATACAGGGAGGTTTGTGGCATGCACAGGGGCCAAGCTTATACTTGCTAATTTATAGGTCAGTAGTCTATTGCGCTAAGCAGTCACATTTCATCTGTTTCAAAATGTGTCACAACTCTTCACTGCTGGTAATCAGAGGGTAACAGAAAGATAACAACATAAAGAGTGAAATAGCATTTTCCACAGAAGATTGCACTTGAGTCACTGTTGACATATTGCAGAAACAGATGGCTGTATCTGGCCCATAGGTATCGAGCATCCCTGCTCATAATATGTAAGTCATTTAAAAATGTATAACTAAAACCCTTGAGAAAACACAGTCTGACAATTCAAAGAGAATTTGTAAAACAACCTTTCAAGATATATTTGCCAAGTTGAATATCTCTTCTTTCATAACTAGATGGAGAGAATACATTTTTTTCCTGAAATAACACATTGTCATACACCATTACTTTCATTCAATAGTGGCCTGTCTGTCTGTTTAAGGGCATTAGGTCAGTGTAATGATAATCTGTCTCTTGATATTAGTATCTCAGTGACTTGTGGTAAGGGAAGACTGAGGAGCAATCTCTACATGACAGAATTAGCAAAAGTAGAAAACCTCTTACCAAGGTTTCAGGTTCTAGAGCTGATTCAGATCTCATAGGATCTGAATCAAACCCTTGACTCACCCAAATGGCCACGTTCCCTTTCTCATGACACTAATAGCAATATAAAACAGTAAATAAAACATTATTATCACAATCATGTAGCCATTTCCATTATTATCACAATCATGTAGTCCAGTTTGACATCCAAAGTGCTGTCGTGTCTGCTGGCCAAAAGCCTGGTTCCAAAACCGTGATTTTAGTTTCTTCCTAAAGGAGGATGAAGTCAACCTGATCTTGCTGGGGAGCAAATTCCATAGGTGGGAGGGGGTCACCACCGAGAAGGCCCTGTCTGTCGTCCCCACTAGACGCGCTTGCGAAGCTGGTGGGACCGAGAGCAGGGCCTCCCCCGTCAATCTTAAACTACGAGGTGGAACATAGAGGAAGATACATTCGGACAAGTAACCTGGGCCAGAGCCATATAGGGCTTTAAAGGCCAAGACCAGCATTTTGAATTGTGCTCTGAAATGGACGAGCAGCCAGTGGAGCTGAAATAGCAAGGGGGTGGTATGCTACCTGTATGGCGCTCCGGTGAGTAATCTGGC